AAAAAATGAACAAAAATATATATAAAATTGTGCATGAGCAATTAAAGTGACATCCGCTTTTAGTAATGTCGTTTACCGTTCACGATGTACTAATGTTGTCAGTGGGCAGGGAATGAGAACTGAGGGGAAGGATGGCAAATACAATGCCAAAATTGTCATGTATGTTTCTGTCAGGGAGATGAAGGAAAGGAGAGAATGGGAGAGAGAGAGAGGAATGATAAGGATGATGAGAAAGTGACCCACTGTGGAATTCACTCGAATGCCGTTGACCACACTGCCGCTGTACAGTCGGTGCAAAGTAGTACAGTGATAATAAAGTGGTAGCTCCCGCATAATTGAGAGAGGGAGAGGGAGAAAGAGAACTCGTCCGCATCTCCACTCTTCNCCAAAATTGTCATGTATGTTTCTGTCAGGGAGATGAAGGAAAGGAGAGAATGGGAGAGAGAGAGAGGAATGATAAGGATGATGAGAAAGTGACCCACTGTGGAATTCACTCGAATGCCGTTGACCACACTGCCGCTGTACAGTCGGTGCAAAGTAGTACAGTGATAATAAAGTGGTAGCTCCCGCATAATTGAGAGAGGGAGAGGGAGAAAGAGAACTCGTCCGCATCTCCACTCTTCGCTGATTGTTCAACCCAGAGCAAAAATGCCGTCACTAATTGGCATTGTTTGACTGCTGACGATTTACTGCCGATGCTGCTGCTGATGATAAAAAGAAAGTTCTGGCAGTGCTGCCACCGCTGTTGTTGTGTTGAGGTGAATTAGCACTCCAAACGGAAGTGGACACTGCCGCACTAGCCGCATTTGCTGTTGCTGCTGCTGCGTAGTGGTAAAGGCTGCCGTACGTTTGTCGCAGGTAGTCCTCAGCGTAGGCTGCATTGCGCACAAAAGGAAAGTAGTCATCGGCGGTGATGCTCACCGATTCGTGCTCCTCCTGATAATTTGATTGGAGGAACGAATGTAAAAACAGAGAGTTGAAAAGGCTGATTAAGTGAAAAGCGGTTTAACATTAAACATACCTTGAAGGAGACCTGCTTTCGGAGGGGACCGCTTGGAGAGCGGGGCACTTGAAGGTTTTCAGAAGAAGAAATGGTGGTGGGCGCTGTTGAAGAGACCGGTGATGCTGGCACCACCATTTCCCCTTGCAGCTGTTGTCCTCTGCTAAAACTACTGCTGCCAATGATGGGCTGCTGCTCATCCCAGTCGTACACAGCGGTAAACTGGCTGCTCGCCCTTTCCAGATCGTCTATTCGGTGAAGCAGCTTGCTGAACATTTTCAGCAAATAACTGGGTAAGAAGAAAAAAAGGATGTTTGAACAATGGAAATNAGCGGTAAACTGGCTGCTCGCCCTTTCCAGATCGTCTATTCGGTGAAGCAACTTGCTGAACATTTTCAGCAAATAACTGGATAAGAAGAAAAAAGGATGTTTGAACAATGGAAACGGCGGAAAAGGTTATGATTGTACAGGCAAACTAAACGGTTGTTCTAAACGGCTATTTGCCGGACAAATAAACAGTCTGACAAACAGTCAGACAGACAAACATTCAGACAGACAATCATGCAGGCTGCTGCTGCTGTTGAAAAGCAAACACCACCGCTTTTTACCGGTAATTGGGCTCCTGTGCAAACTGAAGCGTCCTCGCGTAGAGCATGTAGTGGTAGTACTCGGCGGGCAGACCGGTGCACAACTCCTCCAGCCTGATGGACTTCTTCAGCGAATAGATGCGCTCGTACTTCTCCAGCTGGTGGCAGTCGGCTGCCATCTGCAGACCCTGCCAGGGCAGCTTCGACTGGAGAAAGTAGAGCAGCATGTAGCCAATTGACTCGAGATCATCACGCCTCGAGAGCACCTGAGAAGGAGAGGATAGAAAGGGAAAGGAGAAAAGACACAGTTTGAGTAAACAGGCGTCAGTTGACTTTCACAGACGAGCAGTAGAGCAGGGTGAAAGTAAACTTGGCAGGGTGCAAGTGCAGTACAAAACCACCGCCGAACAAGGTGGTGGGGACTCTAGAAGTAGCATCAGGCTAGACACTAGATTAGCATGACAAACGCACCTTTCCCTTGTGTGCATTTAAGGACATGTACCGCGGTGTGCCAAAGACGGCGCCCTTTGAGGGCGAAGACGGCCGCGTCGGCGGCGGCTGCTGCTGCAATGGCATTGATGGATTTGAGCTAAAATTGTCCTTTTCTACCTTCTTTTCCAGCTGCTCCTGCTGCTGCTCCTGCTGACGTAGTTGTTGTTGATGTCCGTAATTATCGCCCTCGCTGTTGGGAGTCCGCTGGGAGCTTCTCTTTGAGATGTGTTCCAGTTGTTCGGTCACAAAGGGGCGCGCATGTGTGAAGCCAATGAGGTGCACCTGGTTAGCTTTAGGAGAGTTCGGCCGCCCCAGACAGAAGTTCTCCGGCTTGACGTTGCAGAAGATGATCTTCTGCGAGTGAATGTAGCGGATAATCTCGAGAATCTGCACGGCAATGTGCGTCGTAGTGCGGAGGCTAAAGCGGCGGCTGCAGGAGTTGAAAACTCGCTCCAGACTGGGGCCAAGCAGCTCGAGGACGAGGACGTCGTAGGGCTGGCACTCGCCAAAATAAAGCACCTTTGGCAGGCCTGGTGCCGGTCCTAATGAATTAAAATTAAATTTTAAACATCATTTTTCATTTTACCAATTAAGTTATCTTTCTACCTAAACTGGTCTAAACTGATTCACAAGTAGACAAACTCTAATTTTAAATTTTCTT